GTGTGTGTGTGTGTGTGTGTGTGTGTGTGTGTGTGTGTGTGTGTGTGTGTGTGTGTGAGATCCTCTGGAGCTTCTTCTTCTCTGAGAGATCAATGACTCTGCTGACACTCCCAGTCTCCAACCTGGAAGTTAATCCTCTCTGGATTGTCAGGAAGCTTCTGTCTCTCTCCTCGTCTCACTCTGGTCAGATCTTCAGACAGGATGAGTTCTGGATGAGCAGAGTTTGGGTCCAGAACCACAGGACTGTAGGAGACCACGTCCTTCATCTTGTTCCAGATGTTGAAGGTCAGGTTGCCCAGGTGTTTGGCCTGGTCTATCAGAGCTCCTGAGCCCAGCTGGTGATCCTCCAGCAGGGGGCGCTGCTGGACTCTGTCCACTGCAGCCTTGTAGCTGAGCAGGAATGAGACGTCTTCAGCTCTCAGCTCGTCCTCTGTGGCTCTGACTGTGTCTGAAAGAGCTGCTATCTCTCTGCTCAGAGCCTCCATCTTCTCCTTCATCACCTGACTCTTCTGCTCCTCTTCCTCCCTCAGTGCAGCCATCCTGGCCTCCTCTTCCTCTTCTAGAAACTGGTGAAGCTTCTTAAACTGCTCCTTAATCTGCGTCTCTGTGCGTCGGGCCTGGACCTTAATGTGTTCTGCTGTTTGATCAAACTTCACTTTAACTTCATTAAGACCCTTTAACTTCTCCTTTAAGGGCTCCAGAGTTTCCTCAAGCTTCTTCCTGTGTGGTGGAGCAGCTTCATCGATGGGTCTGAATCTGTGGTCGGTGTGTGTTTCTGAATCTCTGCAGACGACACACACTGGCTGCTGATGGTCCAGACAGAAGAGTCTGAGTTTCTCAGAGTGCAGACTGCAGAGAGCCTCTGAAGATCCATGATCTCTCTCCTGTAAGAAGGCCTCACACAGGTTCTTCAACACCAGGTTAGGAGGTAGATCTTCCCTTGAACGTCTTCTCCTACAAACTGGACACTCTCGTGTTGGTTTGTCTCTCCAGCAGCTCTGCAGACAGTCTCTACAGAAGCTGTGGCTGCAGGACAGGATGACAGGATGTGTAAAGACCTCCTGACAGACGGGACAGCAGAGATCCTCCTCTAATCTGGAAGACGCCATTTTGTCTCTGAGTGACGTTGAAAACACAACAGACAGGAAACCAGTTGGCCGCTCCCTGTTCCCTGAGAGTTACTTTCATTTTGAGTCTCTGTTAAACTCTGTTCAGTGTGTGGAGTCAGCAACAGGTTCCAGTGGTCGTATCCCAGTGTTCCCAGTGCTCCCTCCTGCAGCTGTCCTCTGTCAGTGAAGCGGCGGTTGGTCTCAGGTGATTCAGGAAGGGGGCGGATATGTAAAAGATTGAAGTAGGAAGTTAAAAAATTTAAATTTCAAAAATTTAAATACAACTAAACATCTTCACAGTGAGGGTTAATGTGTTAATTATACTAAAGTTTAGTACATACATAGGTACTACTACTATGTACTACTGTAATACTACATATAATAATAAAACTATGAGAAAATATAAATCAAGGTAGTTCTTTGTTCACACAGACGTTCTTTAAATCTTTCCTCTGCTGTCGAACCTGGTTTCTTGATGGAGGCACGTGAAGGTGATTGTGTCTTAACAAGAGCTTCAGTCATCTTTGTCTTTGCACAGAACCGGTTTTCATTTAAAGCCCAGACGTCTTAAGTGGTTTGAAATGTATCATATTTTTGTTTGTATGTTATTATGTGGTCAACTGAACGTTTGTTAATCTGTTTTATTCTCTCAACATGGGGCTGCACACAAACGCTTTTATTCTGAAAACCCGTACAGGAAGTCACTGTGTGTAGCCCGGGCAACTTGTGCTCGGAGGGGCTCGGCTCTACTCGGTTTGTTTTCTTCCCGCCCCTCCATCGTCCGGAACGGAGCGACATGAAAACCGGATCCCGCGGCGTTTGGGTGCTTCGGTGTTGGACAAGACTGGACAGAGAGGACCGGGAACCGGAGCGGACCAGGATCCAGAGCGGACCGGGATCCAGAGAGGACCGGGATCCAGAAAGGACCGGGATCCAGAAAGGACCAGGATCCAGAAAGGACCAGGATCCAGAGCGGACCGGGGGATCGTGTTGCAGATGTTTCAGAGCTGAAAGGCTCCGGACAGACACCGAGCGGCTGGTTGCAGCGGAGCCGGGTTGGGGTGGACTTCTGGCGGCTGCAGCTCCTCCTGCGTCTCGCTGAGCGGCGGAGGACTGAGTGAGACATGTACCAGGTCCAGGTGAGCCTCACCTCTGTTTCCTGTGCTCACCTGTCACATTAACAGATGATCAATGTATCTGTTGGGAACAAAACAAATCAGAAGCAGGTAAATACGGTTCAACATTTCTGTCTGTTTTCAGTTTCCCGGGTAGAAAAACAGATTCACACCGAGTGTTTAAAGCGGGAAAAGACAGGTTTTACAGTCAGACTTAATTAATCACTTCACTGATTCATATCTATCTTAATGTGACTTATACACTAATCAACACAAAATATTAAAAATAATCTTAAAATGATCATTCAGTGACTCACTTGTTTTTACCTGACGTGTCTGATCATCTTTAATTTCACTGCTTTCAGAAAAGTTATTGATTATTTTCATGTGGCTCATTTTTCTGGTTCCTGTTTTCTACATGATTTAATGCAGATAAGGATTTTATTTATTACTATTATAGTTTTTATTATTGATGGGAGATGAGTAATGAATAATTAATTATCAATCCGATTGATCAGATCAGAGAAACTGAACCAGTGTCTGTTTGAAACCTCAGCGTGAACCTGAACAAGTTTAAATTGTCTTATTCTGTCCAACCAACAACTTAAACCATCAGTCATCAATACACGTATTGATAAAGCTTGTGTCAGTGGACTCGTCCCTGAGGTGACTTCCTGTTCTCTCAGTGTTGTGTTATGAGTGAGTGATGGTGGTTGTGAGTCTGTGTGCTGAGGCTCGTGACCTTCAGACTGAAATGAGCTGAGGCAGATTTACAGCTCAGTTCTTCAGCGGTGGAATGAACTGAGTCTGCAGCTGCTGCCAGAGTCTTCATCATCATCTTCATCAGCTCCACGTTCACTCTCCCCTTTCTGTTTCCTCTCATCTTCACTCTGTGTTCAACACAGAATCCCAGTCACTCTAGTAACTACTCCGTCTTCAGAGAGTAGACTGGTCCACAAGAGGCTCTAACGCCAGAGAGTAGACTGGTCCAGGGGAAGCGCTAACACCAGAGAGTAGACTGGTCCAGGGAGCAAGCTAACACCAGAGAGTAGACTGGTCCAGGGGAGTGAGCTCTCTGTTTATATTCATAGAACTGTAACAGTTATTACAGAAAGTTGTAACAGATTATTGAATTGTTGATCTGTGTAAACAGTGTGTTTTGATAATTGATTAATTGATTTGAAATCAGTACGAGTTCCACCCAGGTCTGGGCCTGGACTCCAGAGTTTCACTGTGTGTGACTTCTTACTTCAGTCAATACTGGAGCTGAACTGACTAATCGATTAATTAATTGGTCAGTTGACAGAAAGTTAATCACCAATAGTTCTGATAATCGATTAAAGGTTTGAGTCACGTTTCAAATCTTCCATTTAGAGAAGATATTCAGGGTTTCAGTTTCTGTCATAGTGACACACCTGGAGTCTGTTTGTTGGTGCTGTGTAGGAACCAAAGCTCTCACCTGTTGTCACTGTGACCCTGGTGTAGATAAAACCTGGATGAATGGATGTTCAGGTAACCAGGAAGTCCGTCCATCACCTCCTCCCCTCTTTTATTCTGATGCGTGGACTGAGAAGAAAAGCTCAGGTGTTTTATTTAATCGCGATCTCCGTCTGTCGCTGAGTCAGCAGCCAGAACCTGAAACAGATCATCCCTCAGGTCCGTGTTTGTTTGACTCTTTTCTTTCATGTTCCATGTTTTTCATCTGGAGGTTTCTACTTCATTTCTACTTTAGATACTGAAGAAACGTTCCTCCTCTCTCTGCCGTCGCTCTCTGAGCACACCTGTCAGACATCATGTGACTACAGCTGCACTGTGCAGGTGTGTCTACAAAGACTGACCTGGGTAGATATTGATCTTAATGACAGAGATTTATAATCGATCATCACAACTTATTGACAAGAAATTCTTCTGATAACTATAGATGATGTTCGTGTGTGTGTGTGTGTGTGTGTGTGTGTGTGTGTGTGTGTGTGTAAACCTCCACTGCAGCTGAGAGTTGAATGATGAATGTGTTTTTATTTTTCAGAACTTTGAGAAAACACCCAGAATCAGAACCAGAACCAGAGTCAGAAACAGAATCTGAACCAGAATTAAAACCAGTCAGAACCAGAACCAGAAGTGTTTAGTTCAGAGTGCCTGGGAAAGTGGAGCGCCCTGTGTAAAGATGGCCGACAGTGATGTTGTTCCTCTGAGCAGAGGCGGTGAAATCAGCTGATCGGATCAACACTTTGATCTGCTGCGACAAAGTGCAGATGAAACACAACAAATACTTTGATGTGACGCTGATGATGATGATGATGGTGATGATGATGATGTTCTTCATCCTGCACCTTTATTCTTCATGTTTCTTCATCCTCGTTTCACTGAAAACATTTAGAGACAACATGAAGGAATAGATCATGTGTTCACATGTAGTTTCATATGTTCATCTTAAAGACACAGCGCTGTGCTCTCATCTTAAATACACATTATTATTATACACATCAAATACATATACATTATATACATATACATTATTATTACATACATCTATGAGGAGACTGAGTCCCTGTGCTGAGCTGATCCGGACCCACAGATGTGGTCTGGGTCCAGAGGTCTGAGTGAGAACAGCTGAGGATGAACAGAATGATCCAGATGTGATAACTGCAGGTCACACAGATGTTTCCTCTTGTAGTCGATCAATCACTGAATAAATGAATTGATTGCCAGGATCTGATAATTGATTGTTTCGGTCATTAAAAATATTTGATGCGTCCAGCTTCTCTCAGGGTGAAGTGAACGTCATTTACATTACATTTACAGACCCCCCCCCCCCCCCCCCCCCCCGCCGGACATGTATTTAATTTCCATATATGAAATATACATTTTTATTTTATATGTACATGTATGTTAAAATTATATATGAAACCTGTTAGATAATTGGAACAACTTCATTTATTGACACATATATCTATCATATACAAACATACAGTTATGTATATGATGTTACATAAATATATATTCATCCACAGCCTGTCAAAAACTCTCAACATGTCTGTAAAAATTCATCATAGATGTTTTTAATATATGTACTAATTTTACAATGGACATTTCATAAATGTTATGAACTTATATCCTCATATATCAGAGAATGTATATGCGTGCTAATATATGTGATAATAATATATCCTCCTATAGGGACATATACTGTATTTATGATATATACATGATATACATATATATATATTTATATATATATATGTGTATATATATGTGTGTGTGTGTGTGGGTCATATATTATGTTTCTGTGTGGATCCTCTCCAGCTGAAGTGTCTCCAGACGATGTGTCCCCTCCCCTCATCAAACACCGTAAATGAGGTTTAGCATTTTGGGGGGGTTCTGGTGAGGATGGTGGTCGGTGGGGTGGGGGGGCGGGGTCTGACCTTGGTGATAGCAATTGAGAGGATAAAAAGATCAAACAGCTTTTCTGAAAAGGAAGAGAGAGAGACAGAGAGAGAGAGACAGAGAGAGAGAGACAGAGAGAGAGAGAGAGAGAGAGAGCAGCTTCCTGTGGCTCTAATTACAGTCTGAAGAGCTGCTGCTGCTGAAGTCACCTGACCAGGTGAACACCAGCTCCTTCAGCCACAGGAACAACAGGCCACACCCTCTGATGATGTCACATTCATCCACAGAGACTCAGAGACCCAGATGTTGTGATGTTACCTGTTGTCACATGGTCCAGGTGTTTACCTGGAGGATGATGAGCTGCTGGTGTTCCAGTTCATCTCCATTCATCTCTATCACTTTCCAATGACAATTCAGGGATTTAATGACCCGGTAGTTTCAGGGTTTTTAACCTCCATCTTTGGGTGATGGACACACACACACACACACACACACACACACACACAGTTCTGCCGTGTCGTCGTCTGCAGGTTTCCCCGTCACAAGGTCACTGCTCATGTTTTCATGAATCCTGCAGTGTCCACGTCATGTTCACTTCAGCACGTCATGTTCTTCAGAACGAGGCTAAAGAGTGAAATTATTCTATCAACTTATTATCAACTTTTATCAGCTCAACGATGTGAAAAAAATTATGTTTGATTATTTTGACAGATATTTGATTGTCAGGAGTTTAGTGTTCATTTTTGAATTTCATTTTCACTGGAGATCGTGATTTCACTTTATCCAAAAATTTCAGCTCGTGTGATTTGTATCCTCCGATGTTGTGTTTGTTCCAGAGGCAGTGTGTCCTCTGCAGGCTCCTGTAGTCGTCCTGTACTGTAGTTACAGTGTGGGTGACTGAAGCCACAGGGGGAAACTCTCATACAAGATTAATTAGCCGTGGAGCTGCTGGTTCATTGGAGGATATAAATATCTAAACCCCTGGGGGTCAGACAGCCGAGCTGCTGCTGCTGCTGCCCTTGGCACAGTTTCATCACCACACCTTCATTCACATGTTGTATTTCACTGATTACACCTGAATCATCAGCGCATCTGCATTTGAGTGTGTTTTCACACCTGTGCTCTTCAGTCAGGTGAACCTGAACCCTGCTTCGTTTCCCCTCGCTACGATCGGTTTGTGGTCTCGGTCCGGTCCATACGAACTCCGTTCTGAACTGGATCCGACCGCACTAGACGGTTCCCGTCACCTTCTTCCTGTGTTTACTCTTCTGCTGCAGACAATCTGACCAGACCTGACTCTGAGACCTGAGACCAGACAGTTCAGTCCTGGTCTCATCAGACCAGAACCTGGTTTCTCTCAGTCTCAGAGTCCTCTAGCTGTCCCTGAGGAGAGGCTCCGTCTGGACCCGCAGACATGAAGTCCAGATCAGTGGAGCTGCAGTGATCGTTGTTCTGAAGTTTCTCCGGAGCTCAGAGACCATCAGGGTCTGTGCCTCTCTGATGTCTGTTGATTGTTCAGTCTGTTAAACTGATTCATGTCAGTGTTAGAAACTGTTTCTCTTGTTTTTGTAAGAATTAAGTAACAAGTGTGTGTCAGAAGAAGAAGAAAAAGAACAGTCTTCTTCTACAACTTGTAGTTG